ACCCATTGAAGTATTGCATGAAGCTGAAAACACCTTTTCTGACCAACTTATGAGGCCAATTGACCTTTAAGGTAATTGCTTTTTGAATTAAAGCGTATTTTTGTGACTCTGGGTGAACCAGCCAAAGTATAATCGAGCCGAAAATGAGTCAAACGATTTGCTTTGATTTTTGTATATGTAAAATTTTTCGGGTCTCCCATTATAGCCCCCAGCGAATTACAGGTACGCCCCACACCACACACACATACACACACTCAAACGGATCTAGGATTTTCTCAAGGGGGGAGGCGGATTTTCAAAAAAATTTCGAAAAGTTTGTCGACCTTTTTTTTAGGTCGACCAAATTAATTTTCCGAGCTCTCTCAAAGCACTACCACTAAAAAAACCGTTTTGGTCAATTTTTCTGCGTCGCAGGCAAAATATTGAAAAACAGGCCAAAAAAAGCGTTTTTAGGCACTTGTAGGAAAATTTTCACCAAAAAATTGCTTTTTTTGTTGCGCGTCCCCCCCCCCCCCCCCCAAAAAAAAAAAATTGTATATAATGGCGCCAAAGGTGCCTCTGGAAAATTTTCAGGATCCGTCACCAAATATGGATATCTCAAAATAGTACAAAGGAGGACCCTTTGGGTCGGCAGGGGGTGTCAAATCCATGAAAGGGAAAGGGGCGTCCGCTCCTCCCCTAAATCCGCCCCTGCACACACTAGTAAATTATAGTAAAGAGCTCATATTTCGTTATTCGCACTTGCGAAGCAATGTGTATTAGTACGAGCTTTCTTTTTTTCCAACCTAAGCTTTTTCATAGCATCTGCTTTAACATTCGAATAGTATTAATTAACACAGTTATGCTTTTTTAATTCATCAAATGAACGGAAAAAAGTGTTTTGTTTCAAACAACATAACAATAATGAAAACTCGATTTCAAAAATTTTCTAACTCAATGTATCTCGTTATATTTTGAAATGTATATTTTATACATAATGTGGCTTTAAGGTTAAAATTTGTTACATGCAAAGTTAGAGTGGATGCCTTCAGTTTGTTATTTTCCCAATTATTACTTGCAAAATTGAGTCTATTTGTTTGTGGTGCCACTTTTGCTGTATAGCATTGGCATTTTTTAAAGCATATGTAGTCGCTTTACTCGTGACTAGTGTTTGTCGCTTGGTAAGCTTGCGTGGCTGAGTGGATAGTGCGTGAGACTCAAAATCTCTTGATTGCAGCAGGTCGCAGATTCAAATCCTACACGTAGGCGAGTTTTTGCTAAATCGAGGCTTATTTCTATTTTTCTTATTTCACTTGATAGAGCTGCTTTTTCGTCGCGTTCTCGCAATTGTTTCGCATCTGTAAATTGCAGGAGCAAGTCTTTTGTAATCGGGAGGTACATTAATTTCCAATTAACAACACAAAGTATATTCACTTTAAGAAATGGTGATATACTTTAAAACGCTGACTTTTTTTGCGCTGTTTTCGATCGGCTCACTGAACGAAGAGAAGGCACGTATTGAGGAATTTTCTTTTTCGCGGTTTGGAGTTGGATTTTTTCCATTATTAGTTTTTGTGATTGACTTTTAGTTTCGAAAGTGGATTTAAATTTTTAGATCTCCCAGTGGAAAAGAAATAAAATAGATTAATTCAGTTTTCTCAAATTGATTTAGTTTCATCAAGAGAGCTTGAATTATTTCCGGCTCATCATAATAACTTGATTAATTTCCGGCTCATCATAATAGCTTGATTAATTTCAGGCTCATTTTTTTAGGTTGTTTTTTAGGGTACTGCGACAACTCGCAAAAAAGCAACTCGCAGCAAAAGTGAACTCGAAAAGTTCTAGGATAGCTACGTCTCGCAAAGCTTGAAAATTAGTTTAAAACACGGCTTTGGCAAGTAGTGAACTCTTACTCCTCTGCGGTTACATTCGGCGCGAGTGGTATTTCCGGCTATTCTAGATGTTATTTAGTGACTCATTCAATTTTTTTCATTTCTTTGGTGCGAGTTGTCACATGTCTCAAATATTTCGAGTTGTCTTTTGTTGCCGTATTATGATTTTTTGGCTTGTAACCTTACGACGCTTTTCTGAGAGTCGATGAACGTATTTCAGACAATTAAATGGGTCGCGGTGATTTTTTTAGGTTTTTTTTTTCAAAAGGCTTAAAATTTGCCAGGCTCAAATTTACTTTTTCGAGGGTTTACTTTTGATCTCTTAAGTTCAGTTCGTTTCACTTGTTAAATGGAAGGCAGACTCCACTATCGAACAGCAAAAGTGTAAAGGTCACGAAAAACGTGATCAACATCTATTTTCGAAATTGGAATTAATTTTCAGATTTATCAGTGAATTAAAAATTTTACTTATTGATCCAGTTTTCTCAAATTGGGTTAGTTTTATCAAAAAAAGTGCCAATCATAAATTATTCTAGAAATTCAAAGAGTTCGATAGTTGAGATAGTTGAGATTTTTCAAAAACAGGCAGTATTTTTTCTGTTTACTTGCGGTCATTGACTCTTTTCCAACTGTTGGCTATGTATGTTTTATGGTTTTTCTCGTTGCAAATTTTTGTATCCATTTTTGAATAGTACAGTTGAAAGCAAAAACAGCACGCAGCAAGCCAGCGCTATATGCTTGGAAAATACCTATACATTGACATTTTAAGGAAGATATAGTTTTGAATGAATCTTTTTCAAGACGTCTGTTTTCTTAAGACGACCTGAAACGCTTTTGTTTCTTCAAGCATCAATCATGAGATTTTCTAAATCTTTGATGTGGCTTCTATAGAAATGACGATTTTTCAATTGATCTATGTGGTCAAGAGATCAGACGATGTTTGAAAAGAACGTGGCACGAAAGAGGTGGGGGGGGGGGGGTATTGGCAGGTTCTCGTATGTTGACTTGATGTGCGGCATCCTCTTCTGAAGTATCCACTGGATCTCATCATCATTCTCAATCAGTGATGCTCTGTGAGGTAAGTCACACATCGTGAACCACACAGCACCTGCGGCGTTTTTGAATTTAACGTTTTAAATCTTTTTTTCATTTCACTACCACCTCGTATACAATTTATCCATGCATAGAACATATGCATCAAACATAGTTATTTAATTTGTTGGTTTTTTTAACCTGTTTAATTATCAAAGCATTTCTTAACATTATGTAACCTCTGCCACATTCGGGGTTTTCCTACGAAGTGCTTGTTTGGTTCATTCTTGCTCTAATTGATCCTATATTAAGCTTCACTTTTCAAATTGATGGCTTCAATTGAATTGTCTTTTGACATTCCTGTATTTCATTAATGTAGTGTGTTGGCCTGTATAAAAGTAGAAATGAGTGGTGCCTTGTCGTTTTTTTGCAGCAGAAGCGGCTATGCGGTGCCATTAAAATGATGGTTAAAGGGTCAGCGTCTTTTGTTTTGGCACTTTTGTTTTGTTTTTTGTCCCCTGGCTAGAGCCGGCACCGGAATGGAGGGGGATTGGATAAGAGAGTCGAGTTACTAGGCTGCATTGGTGCACTATCTATTGGCATAGTAGTGAGTGAGTGAGTGTGTGTGTGTGTGTGGTTGTGTTGTGGTGGTATTAGGATAGGATAGGATAGGATAGGATGCATGAAATGCAGAATGAAGAGCGCGTTGTTGCGTCATATGCGTCTAAACAGAGGCCTCTGATTGGCTCCCAAATAGCGGCATTGGAGCTAGGAAAGGAAAGAAGAAAAGCAAGGGAGTAAAAGGAAGTGAAACACCGCTAAGAAAATAGAGATAGAGGGAAAGGCTTAGAAGGAAGTAGAAAAAGTATAATAATTATACTGCCTACCACCCGTAACTACAAGTAATACTATACTGCTCTGTTGTGGTTGCCTTGCTACTGCTTCTTCCATATAGCCACCATTGCATTAAATCAGCCACAGTAATGGTGCGGGTGTATGCTTCATAATGGAAACGCAACACCATATTCGGAATATTTATACCCCTGTCTAACATACTACTATCTTGCACTTCGCTTTAACATTTCTTGCTTTTTACCACTTGTTTCGCTTCTCTCTCCTCGTAAACAGGCTCGAAAAAACAAGACAGAACAGCACATTACCATGTTATGTCATATGTTGTCTTTAGATTTATCCTTCCTTTCCACTCATTGTGATTACCTTCATTATTTTATCTCTTGCTTTCATTTTTCTGGTTACTTCTGGTATCACTAGACAGTCCCATTTGTTAGTGTTTGTTACCTAGCTCTACTCTTTTTTTTAGTTAGACACTAATCATTGATACTAGTTATTCAAGCTCCAGATGGTCTAACTAATTCATTCAGTTGATATTTTGTAATATTTTATATCTGTCTCCAGCGTGTTAGAAGCCTGTAAGACTCAATTCATGGTGACGACGGTTAGGACAAGGAATTCAGGCAAAGGGAGGGGGGGGGGGG